AAGTTATAAATAGCTGCTATTGAAATGAGTACCCTAATGGATGTAATTCTAGTGACCGGAGAAAAGGTGTCGAAGAAATCTATATTTTCTCTTTGTCTAAAACCCTTGGCTACAAGGCGAGCCTTGTATTTCTCAATCGTTCCATCAGGTTTTAGTTTCTTTTTCAAAACCCATTTACAACCAATTGGTTTGCAACCCGGAGGTAAGTTTACTAAGTGCCAGGTCTTGTTAGATTCTAGAGAATCTATCTCATCATTAATGGCTTCTTGCCATAAGTCTGCATCCATAGATGACAGTGCTTCTTGAAGATTTATTGGATCTTCTTCTACATTATAGGCCGCATAATCGGGCCCATAGTCTTTAGCAACTCTTGCTCTTTTACTTCTTCGAAGCTCTGTTTCTACATTGTCGCTGCTTTCAGTGCCTTTTATCACAGGAATGTGACTCAATTGTGTGCCCCCACTATTTCTCGATTTGAAAGGAAATTTGTCTTCAAAGAATTCAACATCGTTTGATTCTATAATTACTCTGGCAGTTAGGTCATAAAACCTGTATGCCTTACTATTTGCTGCTTACCCAATGAAAACACATTCATAGGCTCTACTAGCGAGTTTAACTCGTTTCGGATCCGGAATTCTGACATAAGCCAAACAACCCCAAGTTCTTAAATAAGACAAATTTGATTGTCTTTTCTTTAATATCTCATAGGGTGAGATCTTACTTTTTGACTTTGGAACTTTATTCAGGACATAGCAAACAGTCAATAAAATTTCCCCCCACCAGTGAGGTGCAGCACCAGAATTCAACATGATTGCAACTACAAGTTCAGTAAGAGTCCTATTCTTTCTTTCTGCTTTACCATTCATTTCAGGAGAGTATGGAGCAGTCGTTTCATGTATAATACCATGTTCAGCATAAAAATCATTAAACAAGCTGGAGTCATATTCGGTTCCCCTATCACTGCGAAGTCTCTTAATCTTCTTGTTAAATTGATTCTCAATTTCAGTTACATACACCTTAAACATGTCAAGCGCTTCACTTTTATTCTTCATTAGATATACATAAGTATAATCAGAGCAATCGTCAATAAAAGTGATAAAATAACGTTTATTATTTCTAGTTAAACTTCCATCTAATTCACATATATCAGAGTGTATAAGATCTAGGGGGTCAGATTCTTTTATAATTGACTTATGTGAAGTTTTTGTTATTTTAGCTTGACTGCAAAATTCACATTTATTGGAATCATTAACATTTAGTTTAGGGATTAGGCCTATGTTGCTTGCATTAGAAAGGATTCGTTTATTAACGTGACAAAGTCTACCATGCCAAATATTGAAGTCACACACAGAGTAAACAGAAGGAGAAATTTTATTCAAATCAACATTCAACTTAAACATGCCATCAGTGGCGTACCCTTTTCCAACAAAAATACCATTCTTAGTGATGGTGTACAAATCTGCCCCTAAAGTTTGACTAAACCCAGCCTTATTCAAAAGAAAACCAGAAACAAGATTCTTCCTAATTTCAGGAACATGCATGACGTCCTTCAAGATCAAAGTCTTTCCTGAAGTGAACTTCAGCTCAACATCTCCAATTCCAGCAACATTAGTGGTGTGAGCATCTCCCAACAACACTTTCTTATCTTCAGCATTCATGTATGTCTTGAACATAGCACGATCATGGCAGACATGATGAGTGGCGCCAGTGTCTATCCACCAACCATCACTTCCACCAACCATGTTGATTTCAGTGATCATGGCAATGAGTTGCTCATCAGTCAGGTTGACCTGAGCATTTGAGCCCGCTGCAGGTTTAGGCCTGCTCCTACATTTCTTTGCCATATGGCCCGGTTTCCCACAATTATAGCAAGTGAAAACCGGAGCATCATTTCTTTGAGGTGGTGGCTGTTGCTTAGCAAATGGAGCCGATGGGGCCCTAGAGGGATTCCCATTCTTAGTTCGGTTCATAGCATTGCGGTTCTGATTCTTTAAAGGTTTGCCCGTAGGCTTCAGAACCGCACCGAATTTCTTTTTGTTGTTAGACACAACTAAGACTTCTTCTTTCTGATCTTGTTTCCGAGCCTCCTCTTCAATTCGGAGGCGAGTTATCAGACTCTCGATTGAAAATTCTTTTGTTTTGTGACGAAACACATTTTTGAAATCTTTCCAACCAGGGGGCAGTTTGTCAATAATTACAGCAATTTGAAATTGTTCATTGAGGGGCATACCTTCTGTAATGATCTCATGAGCAATCTTTTGTATTTCGTGGCTTTGAGCTTCCACCGACTTCTCATCCACCATCTTGTAGTTCAAGTAGCGGCTGACAGCAAATTTCTTCGCACCTGCTTCTTCAGTATCATATTTTCTTTGCAGAGCCTCCCAAACCTGTTTAGCAGTCCTGTAGCTACTGTAGTAGTCGTACAGATCATCAGCAAGGCTGTTCAGAATGTGATTTTTGCACAGATAATCATTCTCGTGCCATAAGGCGATTTCTTTTCGGAGCTGTAGATCATCTGCTGCAGCCTTAGCTTTTGCAGCATCTGAGTCAGATATTTTGGAAGTCCCGTCTGAATCTGCAAGTGAGTTACCGTTAGGTAGTTCAGATGATGCAGAAGGGACAACCGGGATATCCTCAGTCAGAACGTGGGCAACCTTTTTCAGAGTTAAGAAAAATTTCATCTTAGCTTGCCAACGTTTGAAATTGGAACCCTCAAACCTGAAAGGTTTGTCAGAGACCGAAGCGGCCGCAGTAGTACCGATAATTTCCTCAGTTGCCATGGCAGTTATGAAAACGTCTTAAATTGTTGTTCTTCGGATCTGAAAATTAAAGTTTAGCACAAGGAAATTATCGGGACGAGTCGCGTACTAGGTCGCTTTCTTTAAGACGTTTCGCCGTACTGCCAAATTATGCAAAGCAGTCGAATTTACGACGACGCCTCCAGGATAAAACAGCCCGTTCAAACAACTTACGATTATCAGTTGCACACTGATGAATCGCTCTAGAAATACACTTGTCTAAGTATCTGGTGAAAATAACCAGTCAAGAAAAGAGAGTTTTTGAGATGAAGAGAAATGAGAAAGAGAAGAGGGAAATCAAAATTCGTGTGAATTTGTGAAATCCGATGTACCCACTTCTGAATTTGTGAAGAGAAAATGGTGGGAGACTGAGAAATTCGTGGGGAGTGGAGAAAATGGTGGGAGACTGAGAAATTCGTGGAGGACTGACTGACCAATTATTTTCTTAATTAATTAATATTTATTATTAATTAATTTTCCACAGAATTATATTAATTAATTAATGATAATTAAATTATATAAATTCGGGTCCAAAAAATAATTCATCTAGACCGGACCGAGCCGAGCCGGACGGACGGCGGCGGCGGCGCGCGCGTGTGTCTTGTTGGTCATGGGTGTGTCCTCACTCCTTTCACAAAATTGGGTGCCCTTTAGGGCCCAACCCAATAGACAAAGTTGGAATATATAAACACTACTAATATTTCCATTCCCTTCAATGTGGGACTAAAATGAATCTTTTCAAATTCACTTCTATATTAGTTCTCACTTGTGTTCATTTATTGCTCATTAATTGTCAACAAATGTTTCCAATTCCCACTATAATTAATTAAAGTTCCACCATTAATTAATTAAAGTTCCAACATATATATATATATATATATATATATATATATATATATATATATATATATATATATATATATATATATATATATATATATATATATATATATATATATATATATATATATATATATATATATATATCATCTTATTGCAAGCAACATACTATTCACAAGGCACAATCTCACCTTAAATCTCAAAAAATCATGAATATTATCACTCAGCATTTTCCCTCACCAATTATAAATGAGTATGTCTATAAAAGAGAAATGAGTAACTTGCAATCATTCTAAGGCTAAAATACACAATATAATCAGTATAGTTCAAATCTAAATTAGCAACATTTCAAATACCTTTTACAAAATACTACTCTAAATCAATTTATATTCATAGGTGATAAATATGATTTCTCCATGTCATGTAACTAACATATGATCATCAGTGATTCATTTAATTGCTGCATTTCATCGAACACATCAAAAGCAGCTTTGTGAACTATAAAAATGATCATTGGTAATTACGATGAATACAAAAACACCAAAAAACACATTGAAATTTAATAGAGAAAAAGGAGTTACAGGATGTACTTACAAAAGTACATGACCATAGGCAATTCATTTAACTGTGACATTTCATCGAACACCTTAGAAGCAACTTTTTGAACTACAAATATAGTATAGTCAAGAGTGGAAGGAAAACAAAATTATTCCAAGTAAATACTATTTACCTAAGACAAAAGCAACTAAAAGATTCAAACTCCAATAATGCATTCAACTATGAGAACAATAAAAATGGAAAATAAGAAACTTCAAATACCTTAAAATGGTGGAAATGCGCTGGTGGAGGACGGAGATGACCGTCAAAAATGGACGGACGGTGGCAGAATGAGGTGACGACGGAATGACCGGAGGAAAGGCGACGGATGGAGGCTGTCGGACGGAGGCGCGGACGAAATGCGTCGATGGTGACTGTTCTAATTCTGAATAGGGCAACATTTGCGAGTGGAAATAAGAAAGAAGAAGACTGTTCTGATTCTGCAAAAATATTGAGATTTTTTAAATTTATGCTACTTAAACCTATAACAGCGTTTTTTTTTGCATTTAGCAGCGCTTTTAAAAGCGCTGCTATAGGTCTGCCTTAGGACCCCCTTTAGCAGCGCTTTTTTTGGCATTTAGCAGCGCTTTTAAAAGCGCTGCTATAGGTCTGCCTTAGGACCCCCTTTAGCAGCGCTTTTTTAAAAGCGCTTTCGTAGATCCCCCCCTTTAGCAGCGCTTTTTTAAAGCGCTTTCTTTGACCCTCCCTTTAGCAGCGCTTTTTTAACAAGCGTTGTCTTAGGTATGCTATTTTTTTTTTTTTTTTTCATGACCCTTTAGCAGCGCTTTTGTAGAAAGCGCTGTCTTTTGTTGCGCTGCTAAAAGTCATTTCTGGTCTTTTTCTTTTATTGTCAAATTGATAAAACCGACACCTATCTGAGTCTGGACCAGAAGATACCGAAGAAGAGCAGTTTGTCATTATGGATTTTGAATCCTCCCTTTCCCCATATTTGCAGAAGACGCTAAATAGAGAAAGACTTTGTTCTGGAACATTATATTTTTCTAAAACATGTATCCTTTGTTCGTGTGACCAAGCAAGAAACTCATTGAGTGTGACCCCTAAAGATAGTATAGACTGTGCTGTTAAAGGATTTATTCCAGGAAACTGTGTAAGAAAGGACTCTGCTAGAGTTACTGAATCAGGCATTTTAGAATACAGACCCCTTGTCTGAATGGCAGTACTCTTAATGCAGTTTATCATAATTTCATTAGTCAACTCTGGTGAGTAAGAGAAGAAGATCTGCAAATCCATTCCTAGGCTTGTGGCTGCTGCATAAAGTCCATCCGAGTACTCCATAACAGTTGAAAGAAAGTTAAATTCCCCTTCAAAGACCTGAAAGGAGAACAAAACATATTAAAGCCAGTTCAACGAACAGATCGTCAATATAATGTATTAAACAACCAGTTAAATATAATGTATTAAAGCCAGTATATAGCAACAAAATCAGATTCAGTAAACTATGTTTATCAGTTTTATGGTAATAAAAGATTATATCTTCCATGCATTTAATAATATAAAATTCCAAATGATGAAAATTCCGCTATTCCCCTTCCAGCTGGTGTATATTTTATAGAATGTTTTTACACAGTGAGACAAATCATTCAACTGGGGTTTAAGCAAAGTTCTAAAATGGAAAAACTGATTACCAGAAAGCATCCACAGAAGTAAAAACTAAGCAATGGCAGAACATCAGTTGCAATATTATCGATACATAAAGGCAAACTTGAAGATGCCTCAGTCGCCGGAGTTGCTTTCTTCCAAAGGTTTGTACTATCATACCATGCCAAACAAACTGCTGAACTAAATATAATATCCACTGGTAAATCTAATTCACGTTCAGCAACTTGAATTCCTCTTTTCTCCAACACAAGAATTACTTGGTAAGAGCTTCTTCTGGACACTATCATTTCCTTATCTACATTTTGAGTATTGACAATGATAACTGATCCAGTAAAAGACTCTAAGCTTTGATGGTCATTCTCAGTTTCCACAGCCGGAATTAGACGCATAAAATTGTCTGTTTCAAGTGCAGCCTTTGAAGATTTTATATCATGGCTGTGTTCCGTAGGATAAAAGTTCAGTAGTCGCTCTAATTTTCGATTCACCATACTTTCCTTGTGATTGAAAATAAGAGGAGTCTCAGTTTCCTGGCAGACAACCATTGTTAGTGAGTGAGTTTTTAATATTCTTGAATAATTACTGGTAAATAAGCAAAAAATAAGATTAACAATCAGCTGATGCAGCTAATTCAGTTATTCCAATTAAAAAGGTGACAATTTGACGAATGATAACATTTGATTTCCAGATCTGTATCATATTGATCCAGGGAAATGTTCCTAATAAAAATGTCTATTTTCCATTGATTATTGCTGATTTCTCTTTCCAAAACCAGTTGAGTCTATCATAAACCATATTCCAGTATTCCTGTACTTATTTACATCATAAAAAAGGAGATACAAGGTCATCTGATTATATTGCAAAGCATTATACTCTGACAGTAGAAATTATGCAACTAACATATGCATAATCCTTTATTAAAAAACACAGATATTTACTCAGAAACTATTAGAAAAGTGATTTTGATATTCATTTGCAACATCATATCATATCATATATACAATCTAGAATCTATAAGCATTAAACTATCTATAATCACAGAGGATTACCGGGAACATTTCAGTGTACAGGGGTAACTCAACACCTTGACAGAGTGCTTTGAGAACGGCATGGCCATTCAATTCAACCGTCAAAAAATGAAGATTAGGCAATCCAACTGAATTTGATGAAAATTCAGATATTCTAGAAGAATCATTTGGACCGCCATATTCCAAGGTAATGCCAAATTTGTTGAATGGAAATAATGGAGAAACATGCCTTCAATTAACAAAGTAATTACTTAGTTTCATAGCAGAAGTATATGACATGAAAAAATCCACACAAATATTATATTGCTGCATTAGAATTACAAGATAATGCCAAATTTGTTGAATGGAAACAATGGAGAAACATGCTGGGAGTAAACAAAGCAATTACTTAGTTTAATAGCAGAAAGTATGACCTAAAATGTTTCACCAAAAATTATTATGTGCTGCAAGATGTTCACAATTTACGATGTAATCAACTGAATTGAAAAAATCCCGATTTTGACAACCTTGCTCCTAACTAGTGTTTCTATGAGTCTCCTCTAAATATGTCTGTAGAACCACCTAATACAAGATTCTACCAACTTTTTTCTACAATTGTAGTAACCCCTACGTTTTCTCTCATAATGCCATTTCTAATCTTATCTTGTTGCGTGTAATACCCATTCAACATAGTATTATCATCTCTGCAACGCTGCATTTGCTTTCTTGTTGGGTTTTTCATTAATCAGCATTAAGGTTCATATAGCATAAAAATCTTATAGTTGCAAAGTAAAGTTTTGGAATGGTGTTTATTTTTCACATGTTATGCCTGAAGCATTCTATTTCATTAACTCTGCTTGAATCCTATGGTTGGCATGCCTATTTCCCCATCTTTTTGTACAACAAATCCATGATAATTATCTTGAGAGACTTATGGTAGAGTGTGTTCCCCCACTTTTCACCTCTATGCTAGTATTTTGGTGCCTCCCACTTACCTGCATTACATATTCATTCTTCATCTTCTACTTAAATGAAGATCATATGTTTCTAATACTTGTCTCCATATCTTGAGCTTTTTATTTATTATTTCTCTCTATTCTCTAACTAAGACTATATAAATATACATCGTGAAATCATCTCTCGGATATGTAGAACGAGCACATCTAGACTCTATTCTGTGTTGTGTAGTCAGTAGTCACGACCCCCTATTTTGAACATAACTTTGCTTGCTCAAATATGAGGAATATGAACTACTTTTTTTATTAATGACAGATCCTAATATGTGAGAGAAGAAAGGGACAATTTCTATCAGGATATTGGGTATAAAACCTAAAAGGAAAGTATAACTTTAAGAATTTGTTGTTGACCAAGTCTAGATGTACTATATATAAGATGCAACAAACTCAAGAAAAGTGCACTTCACTGCTTAAATATACCCTTATTGAAAAGATATATCATTAGAGAAAGTTTGAATAAAGAATGCAAAAGATATATTATGTGAAATAAATTTAAATTTCACTTATGCATGATAAATAAAACCACTTGTCAAATAGTGGCTGTAGTGTAGCGGAATTTGAGCAAACTACTATTGTTATGCAAATGCAATTTAGTACAAAACGTTGTCAATTAGCGGCTAGAGCGGTGCGATAAGGCTGCAGCATCGCCAAACTTGAACAAACTGCTAGTTTCAGCATCGGTTAACAATAATGAAAAAACATTTTGAAACAAATGCTTACTTGTATGAAACCAGCAAGCAGTCTGAACTCAGAAGTTCCATCATTTTAGTATCAGATTCCTCAGGCAGATTATTTGCATATGGGTGATTTCTGTAAGTGTCATTTAATTCACCAAATGATAACCTCAGGGAGAGAAGAAGATTTTTCAAAGACCACCAGAATACTTCTTCAGCCACAATTAAAGCTTTCAAACTATCCTGTTTGATGTTTGCCTGTAAAATTTCCTTGACAATTGTTAGCGATGAGTGTGCCATAGTAATATTGTTTTCCATCTTCCTGTTTTCATCTTTGATCAAAGCTTGGAGGGTGCCTAATCTTGATTTCAAGTAGCCCATGTTTTGACATAGTTTTTCTAGATACAACCATGCTGGATTGAGACCATAGAAACATAAGTACCAAACTGCCTGTTTAATTGCACTTAACACAATAAACGCCATATTATTTCCATTTACATGGAATTCAATCAGTTTGTGCTTTTGAAGACTCAGCAATTCAAAATAATGAACATCTGATTTATGTGTCTTTGTCAGCTCTGTATCACTCCGCAAAATGGCCAGATAGCTTTTTCCAAAATCTCTAGCAAGAGCCACAATATTATCAGACAGCTTAACTCTATGCAGAACAGTGTGCCATCCTTGTGATTGTAGACCAGGTTTCACTGCAGCGGTTGCATATTTTGGAATATTAACGTTAGCATTGGTGGAGTCTACTGCAAAATAACAACTCTTCTTAACAGTTGCTTTTTGAGGGTTTAAGAAATAATCAAGGTTGCTGATTTCTGAAATAGACTTAAATAATAATGAAGCCCTCTCTGCATTTCTTTCTGGTAATTGTTCTTGATGTCCTTGATTGGAAGACCCATTTTCTAATAATTTGCCTGCAGCAAATTCTACGGGCTGAGAAATGCTGTCAGAAAGCAACTTTTGCAATTCTTCACTTTGTTGAAGGTCACATTTACCCGTAGTATCATGAAGGTTGCTGATATCTGACATAGACTTCCTCTGTGAATATTTTCCAAGTAATTGTTCTTGACATCCTTTATTGGAAGATCCATGTTCTAAAAGTGTGCTCACAGCAAATTCTACAGGCTGACTGTCAAGCTGAGAAATTCTATCAGAAAGCAAATTCTGCAACTCTTCACTATTTTTATGGTCCCATTCAATTATTGAATCATCAAAGAAAACTAGATCAAAGATCATTTTTCTATTGTCAAAAGATTTTCTTCTGAAATCATGGTTTTTCATATCTATCTTGGCCCATATGTTCTGATACCAATTAGATATATTGTAATTGCATTTATCTTCTTCCAGTAGATCCCAGTTTAAGTAAATTCCATCAGATGCAGATAGAGGTCGGGTCTTCATGTTTGAAAATAGTTCTCCAATGATATCATGTACATTAATCATCTTTATGTGGTCAGAGATTACAGGTACAGGCAATGATCTGAATGTGTCGTCTACTAGTGCCATCTCATTACTAACAACCAAATCATCAAAACTCTTATAATTAAACTCTTTTTTGAACATCCAGTCATTTGATTTTAAATCATCCGATGCTTTTGTATAATAAAAAGCTTCAAAGGTATTATTAATCATATCTTCATCAAGGAACACAAACTCCTGGAAGGTAATTAGATTCACTAACAAATCACTACCAGCCTGCAATGTTCCACCCACGTGTTCATTTTCCAACATATTTAAGAAATCTCTTTCAGTAAATAGATCTGATAAGATCAAACTCTTCTTTGATACACAGTCCTCTGAGAACAACTTCACCAGGTCATGCACTTTAGAATCCAAAAGTTCCCTTCCCTCTGTTATGGACTGATATTGTTCATCAAAACTTTGAGGTCTGAGATTCTCAAAATATGATTCAACAATATCTACCATGGATAAGCTTTTAGGAATTCCCAAACTTTCTTCATCCACTTCCAAAATGGGAAATGTCTTTTTGTCAGAGTATGGTAGGTGCTGAACAGAAATATTACCTTCTAAAGCACATGCATTCTCCCCCTTTAGGTACTCATGAATAACATCTTCCATCCTTGATACTGGTTCCAGATCCCCGTAAGGGTACTGCGTCAATGACTCAGACAAAAACATTTCCTGCAAGGAAAACACACAAACTTGTTCTCAATGAAATTTGGAGCCAAGCACACACGAATAAAGAAGAATTGAATCTTCGCCCATGTCCTATCTCTATAAAACATATGTTCCTTTAAATCCATTCTGATGTCTGAAAAACTCATCCCTATTCCTGAAGGATGCAAGAAGTAGGAAACTAAGCAAAGTCTATTTAGCTCCTTCATATTGCAAATTCAACAAACAAACCCAATAAACAACCGACTATGAAAAATTAGTAAGTATCGAGATGTATTATACTTAATGAGACTATCTGATCAAAGTTTACAAGAATGACGCAATGTAATTACTCCAATAAAAACTATCAGACTCTTTTACTGACACTTTATACAGTTCATACTCCCAAAAACCTACAGCAACAGTGCAAGGTGTAATAAAACCAACTAAGCATGTCAGAGCCGATATACTATAGTGTAGTTAGTAGTTACCATGCTATTTTCAACCTCTGGAGTGTGAGACAGCATTTGCATCCTCTCCTTCTCAGTGAAGCATACATTTTCCTTTAAAATACAAAAAAAAAATGTAAGGATTGAATTAAGATACTAAACGTACAAGAAGTTAACATCAGTGTTTGTAAATAGGAGCTATTGCTATAGTGCTATAACAGTAGTAGAATTTGAACAAATCGTTACAGTTTCACAATACTCTATTTATAACAACTACAAAGTGCTGTCAAATAAAAGCTAATAGTGGCACTATAGAACCCTAGCGCGGCAGAGTTTAAACAAAACGCTATTTCATGTGATGCGAAATTCAAACACTAGTTCGATTAGCATACACTCTCCTTTAAAACTAAAAAATCAATAAAATGAATGAAATTGAAGATTGAAAGAAAAAGAAATGCTATAAACAGAACAAGTTATTATTATAACTACAAAATTAGAAACATGCATCTCACCAAGAGTGTGTCCAGCTGCTCTGGTGTTTCAAATTGAAACGGTTCATAAACGCTTCATTTTCGTTACTACGAGCAACGGTTTTACTCTCCTGCGAACAATACGAAAATAAGCTCTAACAAAAATCAATAAACTAAATAAATAAAAATTTCAGAGGACAAGAAGCGTTAGTATACTTTGGAAAATTCAATATCAGCATCAGAGACTTGATCTTCGAAAATAAAATCCGCTTCTCTCAGCAACGCATTCTACACATCCAAAAGCAACGAGAACAGTGACGAACACGTAGAATCTCAATTTTCAGATTGAAATGAAATACTAACAGTGACGAACTAAAATCAACAAAATTTACGAGTATCGAGATAAACTAATTATCCATTGAAGAAACAAATCGTAGAGTAAAACTAACATTGGAATTTGAATAATTGGAAACGGAGGAGGACGGATCTGGATTTGGAATCTCGATTTTGTGAGGGAGGACGGAGAAGAGGAAGGAGGAGAGAGCGGAGTGGATCGGGAAGCGATCGATGTGGAGGGAGACGTCGGGAAGAGAGGAGTAGAAGTTGAGGTGGTGGTCGACGGCGGAGGAGATCGGCGTAGGGAGGTGGAGGAAGGGGATGGTTTCGTGGCGTTGGGATGGAGGGAGAGTGAAGTAGTCGTTGTTCAGATAGCGAGTTCGCATTTTATTTTTTAAGATGGAACTAACGAAAACGAAAATCGAATTGAATTTGGCGCTTTAGTTTCTTTATTTATGGCATAATGCGCGGGTTAAAGATTTTAATAGAATAAACAAAGCTTAGATTCGGATGGTTTTCTTTTCATGTTTGAATTTCAAGAAATTAATTTTTATTTTAAGTTTTAAAATTTTCAAAAAATCAAAACTAGTTTTAAATTTGAGTCGTGAAATTTTCAAAATTTTAAATCAATTTCACATAAATACAAATATTCATCACAAACATATTTTAATTCAAATTATCATTACATTTTTTAAAATAATTAAAATAGTATTTCTAACTGATTCTCCCGCATGAACATCGGTTACATATTGAAGTAACATAGTTTTAGCTTTTGGTTCAAAAAATAATAGTATTTGTTTTAATTAATAAATGAAAAAGTTCTATTTCTTATCTAAAAATATCTTTTATTTTAAACTATCATTAAAAAATATTACAATTTCATCTTTACCCATAATTTTACATTAAATTAAATTTTATTAATTTTACAACATTATCTTAATTTTGTCATAATTTAATATTTTCTCTTAATTTACATTTAATTTTTTTTCAAAATTGTAACTTAATAATTTCATCTCATTGGTTTTTATTTGACAATATTCATTAATTTTAGTTTATATTAATATTAATTTAAATAACTTAAATTAATATTTTAAGTTAAAGTAAAATTTAATATAAAAAATTATTAATATATGAGAAAAATTGTGGGACTCTATACGTTCTTTAAAGTTATACTATTAAAGATAAAATCGAATGTGTTGCTTCAAGATGATACGGCTTAATGAGTCTTCTAAATAAATTTCAGAGAACGTTTGCACCATTAGAGATACTTTAATGAATTTATTTAGTAGTATGTTTAATAATAGTGGTTAAAATGGTGGTTTAAAATTATAATAGTGATGGGTAGTGATGATATGTGGTGGTGTTTTTTTGGCCGGAGGAGTAATAGTTACAAGAAGTAGTCAATGGTGGTTTATGAGATGGTCAAAAGGTTGTTACAGAGGTAATTAGTGGTGACGGTGGTGAAGTTCATGTTAGTAATCGATGTTGATCGGAGTAATGGTCTATAATGGTGGTTAATGATCCGAGTGATGGTCAGTGTGAGATTTTTTTTAGTATAACATGTGTGAAATATATGTAAACCATCATAAGTATCATCATAATATCAAAAGTTTAATAATCGAATTTGTAAGTTCGTAACTCAAGTACCTAAGGTTATAACACACACTAACATGTGAGTTTATTCGGTCAAAGACTAGAAGAGCATAATCATGGTAATTATAAGAAATTAAGAAAGTTAGATAAGTAAGGGGCATACACAATCCCACGATGGTGAAATGGGAATCATAAGTTTTATACAAAAAACTGATAAAAGAGAAATAACTTAACTCACTATTTACCTAAATACTAAATATTTCTAACTTGAATCACAATACATCACTTACAAGGTCTACCTTATAGTCTTTAGCAAGATTATCTAGCGTCAATCATGAAACTACATTAAAGTCATTTTTAAACCACATTTTCAAATATCCAAAAATATGGTACGTGTTCAACCTCTATTTGAGGAAAATGAGGCTCTTATCGCAATTCAAGCCATTATGAAAAAATTGCAGCATCAAAAAAAGAATTTTTAAAAAGAAACTTCAAGTCATTCAATAAGAATGAGTTGAAAAAAACGATTTGAATGGAGAAATAGACAAGCCTTAACCCTTATGTTTGAAAATTCTGAATGTTTCAATATAAAAGAACTTCAAACCACCACAACATGGAAAGTTTTGATGGAAAATGAGATTGCTAAGAGCACTCAAAAACAAGATGGTCATCATAAGTTCCATTTGAACCCTCAAATGAAAATCATATTTTGATAATATGTAAATGGTTGCTTGTCGTTTGTAATGAATCTCCATCTCCACTCTATCATCTACTACGTTATTTTTTCTTAAAAATTGATACATAATTTTTAAGTGAAATAACACTGATAATCATTGTTCACAAGTCTTTTCTATGTTTGCATGGGTTATTATAAATTTTGGAAATAATAATTGGCTCGCTTTAATGAGTCCATAATACAAGTGGTAAATCCAAATTAAGAAATGATTGTGGGAGAGTATCAAAATATATTGAAGTTGTTCTGGACTGGGCCAGAGGCTGCCCCACTGTTGGGCACGACCCAACCTAGGTCCCCATCCGGGAGGATCCAATGAAGGCTCATCTCACCAAATCACATGGGGAGCGCTCACGCATCTTCCCCACAGTCTCCACATGCTCCCCACGCGGAGACACGTTATCAGCCAACTACCCGCGTCTGAAAGAGCATGTCTTTCGTCTTTCAAAGTTCACGAGGCAGTTGATCTAGGATGAAGATCATGTGTTGGTCTTCCCTACGCCACATAGATTATAACACCCTACTTTACCCTTTCATATAATAATTGAAAAAATACGAAGATAATGCGGAATTACATTAGAGTTAATACACGTAGGATGTCACATTGCAAAAACAACATCAAAGTGAAATACCAATTCGCTTCACATTTTATTCATTTCATAAAAATAAGTAGTTTGATTAAACAGCGAAATTAAATTATACGGTTCAATATTAAACCCAAGGTACATCAATACTCCACATAATATGTGGTTCAACAACAATTGATCAAAAAGATATTCATAACAAATACAAAGTCAAATAACATAAAGAAATCACAAAATCTTCATCATGTCCATGTTACGTATCAGAGCGACTCCTAAGACTCGATCAAATAGAAACACAATGCTCCAAGCACTACTCAGGTATCTAGTCATCTGTTCTCCCCAAGGAGCACAAACACAACAAATAGAAAAGGGGTGAGAACTACATTCCATAAATACACGGTGAAAAACACATGCTAAGGGTAGTTCACTAAAAACATACCAATCATACAATCACCATGCACGTACAAATGCCACATCATAGTCCGACATGAACAACCCACATTCAATCACATATAAATATGTAATGCGACTCACTGACACGACACAATGCATGTGATACCATCACAATCGCATACGGTTCACCCTAGAACTTGATTCCCATCGGAATTAGGATAAGTTGTATACGTTCCTCTGAACTATAACTTATCTCCACATGACTCCCACATAGAGTCCGGACAAGACTAGGCCTCCATCATGGATTCCCACCTAGCTCGTCCCCACATGACATGACATGAATGCATGACACAAATTATGCACAACATACTAGTTAATCAAGCATAATCTCACGATCCTCAATGATCACACACGAGCCACATGCTCACCGTAATTCTCTTCAGAATTACCACCACAACACAAAACTGTCCCCACACGACAATATTGGCTCACACACATCAAACACGTCTCAACTAGACATTCTCACAAACCCACATTTTATCCTATTTAATGTCATTACTAGTTTCTCCTATGTCCATTTATACCATTTTAGTCTTACGTATCAAGAGAAATTGCATTACACGCAAAATCGGAATAAAAATCGTGAAAATAGGAAAATTCACTACAGTCCTGCCCATACGCGTAATGCCCTGCCTACGCCTCAGGCCTGCGTAAAATACGTGTAAGGCCAACTGCCCATGTCGTCCATACGCGTAATACCTTGGCCCTTACGCGTATGGTCAGAGAGAGTTTCCCTCTCAAAATCCCTTCAAAACTCCCCATACGCGTAATGCCCACTTCCTCTTACGCGTACCTCAAGCGTATTGGCAGAGGACCGTGCTGGCTCTAGGGATGGGTGCATATCATACGCGTAACACCTTAGGAATGTCCCCTCATACACGTAATGCCCCGTGCCTTACGCGTATGGCCAGTCAGCATGCCAAAATTCCAGTTTTCCATTTACATGAGTTCTCACACATTGAAACTCACTTTAGCACCTAAATTAGATCCAAAATCATATTTTCTTTAGTCTAATCCCAAAGTACTAACTCTACTTCATGGTTTCATCATTCTTATCAATATTTTATGTGTTAACAACCTAATTTTCGTTAATCCCATAAACCTCAAATTCTATATCTGTTCTATATCAGAACTTAGCAACACAAAATCAATATGCACGAGTTTTACTGTTCAATTTCAATATACAATACAGATTCACACATACATGCATTCACACCAGACATTACTCAAAACACGGATTTACAGTAGTAATAACACAATCACGTAACAAATCAAGAAGACGAAAAATATATAGAATCCTAAAAAGGAAAAGAGCCCTCACTACTTTCTCATATTATTAACACCATTATTGACCCTATTCTCCCCCTTACTTGAATCTGAGCTTCAAGTCCTTCAACAATGGTGGAAACTTCCTTCTTGCCCTAGTTCTCCCTTGTTCTTTTTTCCTTCTCTTTTCATGTAAACTGCTCTAATTTTGCTAACCTCTCCACTAATTTCTCTAATTATGTTTTAATAATTATCTTAATAATAATAATAATAATAATAATAATAATAATAATAATAATTCCAATAATAATAATGTTAATAATTATAATAATACTAATATTAATAATTATAATAGTAATAATATTAATATTAATACAACTAACATTAACATTAATAAAATGTCTCCTTATTATATTATTATCACCATATTGTCATAACCTTTAATTCTGATTAAGTCCTCTTACTAAGCTCTCACACCTTCCCTACACTCTTACCCCGAACTAAATCAATAAAATCACAAACAATACACGGTAAATTATAAAATGACTAAATAATTAAATGGGGTGTTACAACTCTCTCCCACTTAAAATATTTTCGTCCTCGGAAATGTACCTGATGAGAACAATTTCAAATACGAATCTCACATCTTGCTCTTCAACTCCTAGGTCACACTTTCTCCAGTAGCTCCTCCCCAAGCTACTTTCACCAAAGGAATATCTTTGCCCCTTAACTGCTTCATCTTGCGATCCTCAATCCT